ATATATATATATATATATATATATATATATATATATATATATATATATATATATATATAGGCTGCCCTCTTGTCTGGGTTTCCATTCTCAACCCGGCAAATCAATTTTAGATAAATGGTAGACAGTGAATGGACTGACAGTTAGGTCAAACCATGATATGAAGTAATGTATTAGTTGTTCTGTGGAATGATATTGGTGAATGGGGTTTGTAAGAGATTGCTGTTTTGATCTAAAGGCTAATTTAATTGTCTGTTGTCATCATTAGGGTTGCTTTGAATTCCGTGTGGTATGTGACTGTGAAGGTTTAAATGTTGCAAAGCATTTAAAGCATTTTATTTATTTTTGTTATTTAAGGTATGTTTTTCTAAATAAGATCCATTGGCATTCCAATTAAAAATGGTTTGCTTTTATATGATGATACGGTGTTTGCATTTTTATTCAAATTTTCTCACCATGTACTTTGATTGTATATTTTAGGTGACATATATTTTTTTATGGATAGGGTAATTGTTAAAGGCCAGAGCTAAAGAGTACATTTGTTTGATAAGAATCGATACAATAATGCAATCTTCTTGTTCTTCAGCCTACTGTATGTCACATAGCTTTGAGATTGAATATGTAACCCTTTTTATTCCACTCAAACATGACATCTTGTGATCTATAAACTTTAGCAAATGAAGTTAAGCCTTTGAGTCAGGCTGAAAAGCAAAACTGCCAATTTTATACCAGCCCGTTTTGTTTCCTCATTGTCTTTCATTAGTCTATTCTGCACTGGTCATGGTGGTGGGTAAGATATTCAATGACTTGGACATTATGAAGGATGGAGGACATTTATTTCTTTGATATAAACTAATAAATAAATGGTACAACTCAATAAATCCCTTTTCTTTCTTATTTTTTTTCATTGTAAACTTCTGTCAACATTTAAGACTCGGTATATTTAGGCAGATGTAAAGCAATCATGGTTTTAACTTATTTCTGTGAGTCTCTAATAGATAACTATTCCCCAAGGTCTAATTTCCTCTTCTTCTTCACAGTCAAACCAACAGTAATCCATACCGACATGTTTGTCAACAGCATCGGTCCAGTAAATGCCATCAATATGGTAAGTAAAAAAATGAAATTCTATGCAAATTTGTCACAATAATTTTAGAAGATTATATTATAAATATTTTAGGAGCTTTATTTATCCATTCAAAAAATGCTGCCATGCCCAATGCTGTGCCAGTCCATGCTTTACAACAACAATAACTAAATTTGATTAAGCAGGATAAAAAACAATTGATTTTTTTAAATACTTTACCACATGAAACTATTTTGAATTCACTTAATCTCTCTATCTTCATTTTTTCATATTTATTCTGAAATAATTCTTAAAAACATAAATTGTTTATTTACAAATGGCACATGGTTAATGCCATGTTCTAGCATGTGCTTAATTCTCTTAGTATTTGCTTTCATTAAGAATTTTATAGTTTTGACTAAAAATAGATAAATCTTCTGATTCCGCTTTTCACCATTCAGTGAGTGCAAACAGGATTTGTCATTTTACCTTGAAATCATTATTGTATAATCATAACCCAAACTACCAGAAAATAACTAACAAATGTTGAATGTTGAATCTGTATTAAATATAAGTAATCAATCATATTTTTTAGCGTTTCAGAACTAGAGCATTTTTATTAATTCAGTTCGGCTGTATGATTTTCGTCAGGGAGGTAAATATTGTGGTGATCCATCGTTGGCAAAGGCTGTAAGGTATGAGTATTGCATTTTTCAGGTCAAGTTTCTCAAAATGTAATTTAAAGCTGTTAAGGCAATGTTGCACAACACTTCTGTTCATATTCATTTAATTTACGATCTTCCTAAACTTTTGTTTTTGTAACATAGTACTTAGTCCCCAAAAGGATATAAAAAAAGGTAAATGTATCTTGTGTTACTTTTGCGAGAGCCTTGCTTTTGCAAGATCCTGCAAATGTTGTGTGAGATCATGCAAATTCAGGGATTTGTACAAATGGGTCAACAAAACCACCATATCAATAAAAGATTCACACAAGCCAGAGAATATTATAGAATTTTATTTCTAGCATGGATTAAATAATAAATATATAAAATTAACACTTGGCAGAAGACAGGTTTATAACTGTAGTCACGCCAGCCTCCCCTTTAAAAATGACAGCCAAACCAACCCCCAGAGGATTTTGCTTGTCACCCAAACACAATGAATTACCTCAGTAACACTGGTTTCAGATCTATCTTATGGGCATGTGAGGGACTGAGCCAGCCAAGCATGAGGACACAGTGGTGATTATCAAGAAAAATGGGTTTTATTTGCTTAAAGTAACAATAATCCAAACAAAAAATTACAGGGTCCTTAAAAGAGGTCAAATGAAGAGTCTAACTTAGGGCAAAAAATATCAAGGTTAAACATAACAGAGCCTCAAACTAACTGCAAAAACAAAACTGACCTGACAACAGCAAACAAAGGGGACTTAAATACTGGCTGATCAGACCAGACTGACACACTGAGGAAAAGGTAGGGAGAACATCTACACAAATTTAACAAAAATAACAGTTAGCTTAAGGATTAAACTTAGATTACCAATAACTGAACAAAATTAACAAAATAAGCAAATCACAAAAGCAAAAGAATGAAAAGATTATGCAGCATATTAAAATGTGAACTCCAAGGTCTTCACCCATAGTGGAACTCCAGATGGTACCACCCAATCAGTCAATGAGTGTGCCAGTCAGTGTCCTTTGCATTCTCCCAGTTGAAGGTACTATCTACAACACCAGAAAAGCTGCAAACAATATTAAGCATTTGACAAAATTAAGTATGCAAAAGTTACCCAAATGCACATGCTACAATTGGAACTAATCTTTTCTAATATTGTCAAAATATTTGAACAAACAAACCAATATATTTATCCTACTGTGTGTTTGTTAAAACTTAAAAGGAAAAAGTGGTTGTGTGTGGGATTACTGACCATGTGACCATCACAGAGTTGAAACCAGTGGCATCAGAAACTAAATTTCAATATGAAATACTGCAATTAAATTCTCCATGGAAAATTAAAGCATTGGTTTTAAAGTTAATTGGTCTCTCACACAACAAAAGTAGCAACACTTTCCAACTGCATTGCAGGTCCCTGATCGTTGGAATCACCCCTTTTGGTGGAAATGAGAGGGGCTTGGTGATAGTAAAAATGGCTTAGGTATCAACTTTCTATTAATTACGTAAATCAAAGAGGAGGCCGAATATCTTGTTTTGTGGCAAAAACATCCTCCTGGGTTTGTCTTGTTTGAACAGAGCCCAAAAAAACAAAACAAAAAAGATTTTTCGGTAGATTTTAACTAAGACCCAGCAAACATGTTTCAACATGAAACCCCAATTTTCAGGGATTTACACCTTTATATCAATAAATCTGCAACACAATGAAACCATTTTATTTAAAAAACCTAATTAATTGTATTGTGATATTTCTTTAGTTTTATATTTGTCTTTAATCAGCATAGAAAAGCTACAAATGTGAAGTCAGCAAAACACAGACTAAATTGTTATGCAGATCTAAATTTATATGCAGAAGACTACAACATAAAGCATGATGATGTCTCCATAAGTGCAGTTAGATGCAGTGATGTGTTCAGTTTGAACCAAGTGTTTGGACTTACATTAGGTTGTCACAATACAATTGTACTGACTGCACAAGAAAATTTGCATAAAGGGGGCACTTTGTTTACATGAAAGGTTGAATGATGGCTTTACATTTGGTTGTAATGCTTGGTACTTGGAGAGAACATGCCTAAAATTAAATGACAAGAGTGGTAATGCTTGCGAGGAAATAAAAATGGATAGTGTGGGGGTATGCATCTGTAGCAGTTATCCATGCAATTGCGATTTATTTCCTTATTTTGCTTTACAGAAGGAATTTCTAAGATATGGCAAGCCCACCCCGTGTGAATAATAGAGGGGGGCAGGGGAAGGAATTGGCTGAGCGGTTGAAAAGAAAGAGGTTTATGTTTGAAGAAGATCAAGAATTAGGAACTTCAGTTCTATACCTGCTGAAGCTTGAAGTGGCTTAGTTGCTCTTGAATACATCCAGCAATTTGAGCATAAAAAAGAAAATTACTCTTTAGAAATCCCTGCACGTTTCACTAAGCCATCTTAATGATTCTTTATACTCTATCATTGATCTGTTATTATTCCGACTTTCGGTCATTATTATTTTTAACAATAATGATAACAATAACAATATTTATGTCCCTTGGGTGAAAAGAATTTTGTCTGGAAAGATTATTTTTACATTTTTCTATTTGGAAACCTTTTTGCATAGATTTTTACTTGAATTTTGACATATCTGTCTGCTATACCCCTATGTTCTCTTCCACACAAATACCAATTTTTCACCTCTTCCTCTACTGAACCTATCTTTAAACGTAAAGCTCAGTTTGTCTCTTTTTCTCTTTTAAAGAGACAGCATAATTAATACCTTTTTCTTATATACCACACCTGCTGTCACACCATCTGATGATCTGACCACGATCCAACATTTTTTACTAAAACATTTGAAACAAAGCAACAGGATAAAATGCTGCCAGAGGGCCAGGTTGAGGGATTTTGTGGTAATCCCTTTGTAAAAGAATTTAAAATTGCACCTGCTCTGTTAAGAATTTCTAAAGGCAACAGTGTTTTCCTTTTTTAAATAACATTTCTAACAAAAGTGCTCTATGGCCTTGATGCCCAGCAACTTGTAAGCTTCAGTGAGTTTTTTTTAGCCTATGTTCCAACAGCAACCACATATTTTGGCCCATATGCAACTATCTTACTTTTTAGTAGAGTCAGAGCAGCACACTTAATTTTTACACCTAGAAGCCCATTTATTATAAATAGATTTGTGTCACTTATATGTGATATGTAGTCATTTTATTTAACTTGAACATTTTTTACTTATCTTCCACTACACATCCATTGTCACCCTGTGACAAACAAATGAAAACCGAAAACTTTAAAAGTGCAGAATACAGGGGAAGACAATAGGTTAAAGGTTTCAACTAATGGCCATAGGTAAGGTTGAAAAATTAACAGGGCGATATATTTGAAATATAATCAGAACAAAATAACGCTAATTCCTCATTCACACGTTATTTCATTAGTGTGTCCTCTGTTCCATCTCAAATAAAATGCTTTCTAGTCTATGTGATAATTAAGCACTATCAAGGGAAACTCACCCCAAAATTTGTTTTTTTATTTTAATTTTTTTAATGCGTCTGCAAAAGGGCAGCTCTGAAGCATAGCGAAGCAAAGCTCAGTGAGACAAAGGTGGCACATTTAGTATGCTGAATGGTGCAATTTTGATGACTTAGGGAAAATGTGATTGCTGCCACACCTACAAACTAAGTGAGGCAATGTTTGCAGAACTTAAAAAAATGGGAAATGTTTTGTTACATTTGTGTCACGAAATCTAATCAGGAAAAACATGAGGTTGTAAGCTACAATTTCGGATTCAGTGAAGACAAGCTTTTTAAAATCAAATTGGATGTAGTGAAAATGTTGACAGGATGACGTGCGGATTGCTCTCCAAAGGCCTGTATGTGGTTTTTAAAAAGGCCATTTTAATTTGGCCCTAGGAGGACTGTTTTGTCATCCTACCTCAAGCGCAGATAATTGCCTCCTTCTTTCCCCTGTTCTGTCTGCCTGCAATTAGTCTCTAAAGGCTAGCCCTGGCGAGCCATAGTCTCATTCCCGCCTTCAGTAGCACTGGCGCCCCGGTGGACTTATTCAGTCTACAGCTGTGCTCTTTTAGCCTTCTCAATTTAGCCTCTATAGCTAGCCCCGTACAGCCACAACCTCTCCTAGCTTGGCTCCGTTTTTCCGGCACCACCAATCTCGTACAGTGGTTCCATAGCTTCAGAGGGAGGCACAACTGATTGCCTTGTCCCCGTTTTGGCTCTCTCTCTGCTGGTGTTCTTGCACTGATTTCATGCTGCTCTTGTCTGGGCTCTAGAATGCCGCCTCACCTTCCCTCTGTTGTCCTAGTGATTTGTCTCCCAATGTGGGACAGCAGGGTTCCACACTGGCTAAAGGCAGAAATACCTTGAAAGTGACTGTCAGCCAGACATAGCTTTTAGATGAGGTGAATATATTCTCCATACTGATTCTTTCTCCGGAGAATATGGTGAACACAGGGACGCTGATAGCTTTCTTTGGCTTTCAAAATTAAAAAAGGAACTGCCTGTCACTATGTAAATGCCTTTTAGCTGTGTTGAGATGAAACCAACAAACAGTAGACTCAATGACGTGCGAGCCTTTTACTGGCCATGCAAATTGCTTTTTGCTAGTTAGATGAAACCAATATAGGATAAAACTGTCAAAATTCAGCAGGTTTCGAGTTTGGTGTCAAAGAAACTTGAACATACTTTTGAAAAATAACGAGGTCTGTCTCCATATTGAGTTGAAATGAGTTGAGATGCAAACTGTAGTTTACACTAATGCCTCAGCAAATTCTCAGACATCCGGGTCTTGGCAGGACAACCTTGAATTTGAGGCGCCATAACATTTGCTCACTTTTACTAAAAACATAATCGATATACAACTGACTTTGAATGTGAATGAAGATGTGCCTAAAATATCACCACTCAGACCACAGATACCTCTAGTGCAAGCCTGCAGAATTGACAAAGGCTCCAAGATAGGTGTCAGAAAACTTTTAAAAGAGAACTGAGTGAAAGTCTGGTTGCCCCTGTTTATGTAAGTGTTGTAGATACTCTGGTCTATATATATCATTTTATCTTAAATGCTAACTTCAACTTGCCACATAGAAACTGTTCCCACTATCACTGTCAAATACTGTTATATCATCTTTTAATTATAGTCAAGACAACACATCCCCAACTCCACCCCCCCCAAACATTGCACATTCCCTAGGTACCTCAGACACCTCCTCCATATGATGCATTTTTCAAATATGGAGCTTAAGCAAAAACTCATCAGGAAGACTCCTATCAACTTCACCTGAACCACGTGCGATGTCCCTTGTTCAGCTCAAGCTAATCAATTCGAGGCCGCACCTTCTCCAAAGCCAATCATCTTTCAAGATTCCCTCTATCTTCCCACCTAGCTTCACTCTCCCGCACTCAAGCAAAATTTCACCCACCTCCATCCCATCTCATCCATGCCTCTCAGACTATTCTTAGTCCACTCACCCTCTGGGTTATTCCACCACCAGGGTCTGGGCCCCAGGGAGAAGACTACTCTAATCCTTTTTCTAGGTTATTCATTCAAGCGAATTTTGATTCACGGCATCAAAGTCTTCTGCCAGGACCTGAGTGCCAAATAACTTGTTTCACTTATGCCATTCTCAGCTTCCATCTCCTTAAACCCCAGTGAGCCTTGGCAAATGGCCGATCACAATGAGCTTGGTTCTGCTGCAGGTTTATTCCTGTTAAAAGGGAATTTTCTTCTCTGTTGCCGCTATATGCATGCTTGGTGTAAGGGTTTGCAAAGAGTCAATGAGTCCTCGTGATCAGCTATCCTTAGGTAGAAACATTTTGTAGAATCTGTATTGAATTATACTTTTCTAATTGTAGCTTTTTTTCTGTGTGTGCAGCCGTTTGGTTGCATTCCAGTTTATTGCGTTTGTAGTTTGTGTGCCTAGATTTTTCACATTTAAAAGCACACCCACGTGTAAATTGTCTTTGATAAATGTGTTCAAAAAGTAGGCATTAATACTATGATAGAATATATGTAGAGAGTCTGTGTTCATGTACAATTATTTGCACTGTCTAAAATAAAAGTAGTCGAATGATATTATTGTAAAAAAAAAAAAAAAAAAAAAAAGTATGGAGTCCTGCCACAATGAATTTAGTGGAAATTAAACCAAAAATAATTGTAGCATGTTTATAAAGAAAAAAATATATTGCAGCCACCGGGGAACAACAGTCACAGAGCCTTTAAAAGGACTCAGGGAAGGCACCTCACTAAATTGCGTTAAAAAGTGATTTTTTTTTTCTTTTTCCCTCAATATTCTGCATAAAGTACAGTTATGTTTTTTTCAGATTAGTACCTTGTTTTGTGCCATATTAGGTCAAATGGGTGGTGTAATGAGTTAAAGGAGGTAATTCCAGTTATTTAAGGAATATATTTTTTCTCTAAGTTTCACTTTGGCTGCAACACGAGCAAAACAAGGCAAAAATATTAAAAATATGTTTGACATGCATGATATGTATTTAGACAAAGCTGTTATTTCTACATATTAACACACAAATCATCAAACACTTTTCCATTCTTGATCCTTAAACATGTTATGGTGTTATGTTTTGAATAAGTCTTCACGTTGTATGAACTAGCATAGCTGCATTTTGTCTAAATACATACTAAATTATCATGTATTTTTTTTATTGTTAGGATTATTTATGTATTCTAAAGGCACCAACTTTTCTCAAAGGGTGTTAGATTTTTTTTTCTTTTTTTTCTAAGGGTTTCCTTTAAGGTTGCTTTTTTTGTCCATCATTTTTTTAGTTTATTTATTTAATTTAATTATTTACAATACGATTCATATATTGCATCTTTGAATATTGACGCAGTATATTACAGCATATATCATATATACTTTTATTAATCATTTTGTGCTGTGGAATATTAGAAATTGGTTGATGAAACAATATTACTCAAACAGAGAACAAAAGTGAACTACTGCTTATATGAAAACAGCTGAATATTAACCAATTTGTTGCATTAAGAAGAGGGTATCTATCAGCTTTCTTAAATGGGAAATTTTACATGCTGACCGACATAAACCGATATTCATTACTGCACTGATATCTGACCCACTTCAGATATCGGAACGGGGCATCCCTAGTTTTTTAATTATTGTCTTGTACTCCAGTAGTAGCCATTTAAAATTTCTGCCGAATGGCAACAGTTTCACTGGGAAGGGCCATTTTTAATGGCTGCTACTATATATTTGCATTATGACCCAGATTTCTCAACAAAATCTTACTATTATTAAGATTCTTGATTTTCAGTGTAACTAGCCGTAGGTGAAAAACAAACAATCCAATTTAAACATCTCACGACTTAAATTATGCATTTCTAACAAGAGATAGAGATTATAAATTAAGATCAGTTAATAAATACTGCTGAATGTACCATGTTGCAATTTACTTGATGAATCGAGCATTAACTTGTCAATGTATTTTATGTTTATGTCAGGAATACACCATCGACATATTTTTTGCACAGACCTGGTACGACAGGAGGTTAAAGTTCAACAGTACAATGAAGGTTCTTCGTCTCAACAGCAACATGGTTGGAAAGATCTGGATCCCAGACACTTTTTTTCGCAACTCAAAGAAAGCTGATGCCCACTGGATTACAACACCTAATCGCATGCTTAGGATCTGGAATGACGGAAGAATACTCTACACGCTTAGGTAAGTCAACACTGATTGATGTCAGAAATCAGAAATATCAGTATCAGGATCTCTTAAGACCCAATTTGTGTATCAAAAATTGAGTTTAAACTTACAAATACACATATAAAGACACACATGATGAATAATCAAGTTTATAAAATCTGTTTAGTCAAAGTATGTTACATATCTAGGATTCATTCATTGCAGGAATAATTGTTTTTCACACATATGGGAATCATGAAGAGTGTCCAAAATGTTCATGTCATTAAAAAGTTCTGGTTACTGTTATAGTACGTAGTTATAAAAATATGTTGCACAAAAAATACTCTCAGGACCATATTACTGTTTTTCCCAGGGGTCAGGACAGAGCTTGGGAAGAAGGCTTTTAGTTTTGCTACTCCCTGTAGCTGGAATGACCTACAGAAAAACCTGAATCTTTGTGAGCTGTGTTCATTCGGTGCTTTGAAATGGCTCCTAAATGACTTTGAGGCAGATGCATCTTTTTGCAAATGTTTTTCCTGGTGTATGATATGTTGAATAATGGAGGTAGATAGCATTTACATTTTGATTTATGTATTTTTCTTTCTTCTAACTGGGTATTTCCAGAATTTAAGGATCATGAAAAAACATACTATCAAAAATATTTAGAAAAATCTGTATAATTCATTATAGGAAGTTATGTCTAATATTCCATTTTGTATCACTTTAAGCGACATAAATCTCAGACTCCCTTTTATTTTCTAACTTAAACATGTGCCCAAATGCATAATTGACTAAACTTATATATTCTATCAGAAGGACAATAGCCTAAAGTCTTATTACCTAAGAATGTTATTTTAGATTATTTTAATGTGTTGATAATGTAACAGGATTGAAACTATAGTGGCAAGGTTAAAAAAGTAACAGGGTTTAAGAGAAAGATTATATTCGATTGTAGATCATTAAATAACTACAAGGAAATACTCAGTCACAGTATTGTCTAAGGTATTTATTATATATTATTTTAAAAAGGATAAACAGAATGGCTTGTACAAACACTGAACATGTCAAGAAGAGCACTAGTCAAATAGTAGAGTATACTAATTTAGAAACCTTCAGATGTTAGCTAAAAACTTCCATAGCATGAATAGCCATATCAACACCGTAACAAAGGACTGGATGATATGGCCAAAACTTAATGGACGATACATTTATTAGAATTGGTCAGTAAAAACAATATCAAACTGCCAAGAAAGTCCACAACAGATGCCTGTACAAAATCATTGCATTATGATGCCAAGTCTGCAAACTCCTACAATATAATTGTTTTGAAATTATTATTTTTTTATAAGCTACAAGCTCAAAATGATGAAATGCATATTTAACCAGATGATTATTTCTCCTGCCTATCGATGAATTCTTGCCTCTTACCGTTTCTTTATTGCATCCTTTACTTTTAGTGAGTGACTGTGGTATATTTAAGAAGACCAACATGCCTAACCCTGAAAGACTCATATGTACCTCTGAAAATACAGACGAAAGGTCCACAAATGATTAAGAAAAATCAAATTTTTGATAAAGCCTTATTGACACTGTAGGCAGCACTTTAAAATAGACTTATTCTTTTTTTTTTCATCCTGTTATTATTTCTCCCCCTCACTTTCAATTATACCCCCTTGCTGTAGCATTGGCCTATTGTTATCTGTTTTATTTTATTTTGGTTTATTTTGCACTTATCAACTGTAGTAAAAAAGAAAGCAGAACCCAGTCCTAATTTGTATACTAGAGCACAGTAAGCATTCACCAAACTAGTAATGATTGAACCAAAGCTTTATCTCAGCTCAAAAAGAAAAGAAAATTATCAAACATGATTTAATCTCCTTGAGTCAATCATGGCATTTGCCGTAGTAAACTAATGCAAAATATAGTGGCAATTTAAAATTGTTTATAGTCTATAAATATCTGTGATAAACTTGAAATAAAAAATAAAAAACTCTTCCTCAAAATTGAATTTAAATGTATATTACCATGTACCTTGAAGAAAGAAAATCCAAATACAAAGCACAACAAACAAAAGCTTTCATTGGAAGGATGTTTATATTGCCTAATAATTATAAAAGAATTTCAGGTTACAGTTAAAATTGTATTTAAAAAATTCTTGGGGTTCTTACATACATTTAATTTTATCAAGTTTTCTTGGGATTCTTGCAGACATTTTAATTGCACATAAGACATTATTATGTTTTGGAGAAAAAAGATATGCACTTTATAATGCATCGAAAAAGTGAAAACATCTCATTTTAAACTGCCATTTTTACAGTCCAACATAACTACAGCAGACATTTGCACTTACTCCAAACTGCGTTATCTGTAATAATAGGAGACAGAGCAAAGTCTTTCTGATTCAATCAAGCCGTGATTGATGTTCTCATGAGCAGAACGCTAGATTTTCACTTCATTAATTTGTTGGGTAACTCATGACTTCAGCAATGGAGAATTACGATGGCGCTATGATTCCAAGCATGGCTATAAATGACAATAGATAATGCATGGGTGGGTAAAACAATTTAAGGTCATTCCATCATTAAGCAGATGTTTAATCACTTTGCTGTTCTTTAGGGGTAAAGGAAAAGAGAATTTATTTAAGTTGACATCAAGAAAAAATTTTGAAGTTTTTGTTCTTTTTTAATGGAAAGAGCATGGTTATGTTGTTAGATAAATTACCTGAGTATTCATATAGTACTTAAAACAGAAACTTGTTTTTTTTTATTTTTGGTGATTAAATGCAATGTTTTTGTTTCTGCAGGTTAACCATTGATGCTGAGTGTCAGCTTAAACTAAACAACTTTCCAATGGATAAGCATTCCTGTCCTCTTGAGTTTTCAAGTTGTAAGTTTATTGATATTCTCATATACAGATCCAGATTTTTTTTTCCTTTTTTTTATCATATGCATATTGATCAACTATTGCGAAATAGGTCAGCACAATATATGGCAGGGATTTCTAATCTCTATAGTCTAATGTCCTAATTTGAATCATTTCTCAATATGGTAAGAAATTAATTAGCTGAACTCTAGAAGCAAAAAGAGTTTTTAGCAAACCTTTGGAAGACTAATCTGCACTTTTGTATAGCCCTTGGAATATTTTTTTATATATATATATTACTTCAGACTTTTTTATTTAAAGTAACAAAAGCTAAAAATACCCAACAAGAGCTCATACTACCTGCCATTCCAATGTAGGCAGTGTGGGGAGGGGATAGGTAAGTTATGCTAATGAGACTGCCAAAGCTCTGCAGTTAGATACTTTAAGATGCTCTCCTAGAAGAAGTTCTCTCCAAGAGATGTCAAGCAGAGAGGTTAGCAAGGCCAAAAGTAGAGCACATGCATTCATTTCAATTTAATGAGAGCTATGGATATTATCAAAGTTGCTTGACATACCCCACTCAAGTCAGGTCTCAGAAGCTGTAGGCAGAAACACATGGGATTATTTATCATGGGGCAAATTACTATGTCATGTGTCCAAAAGCGACAATGTTTAGTGAGTTCATCGTCTTTTGCAGTTTATGACTCTAGTTAAATGTTAGCTGAGTATTTGATAACACGTTTTCTTTCGGTTAAAAAAATACTTTTTAGTTTTTATACCTGCAATACCCAGAATGGAAGATAAACTGCTGACATTGATTTTTTTTATCTGTCTTGTTTCAACTTCCCAGAAGGAGACTCAATCTATTATATGTCTCAGATGTACTAGAAGCAAAACAGCAGGAGGCTATCTTGGATGGAAATGATGTGTTACTTTAAAGACCAGCATTATTGGATGTCTGAGAGCACTTAGGTTTGCACTAAAGGAAGTTCCTCTGCATAATTCTCATCTCTAGACTTTGACTGTGCACAGTTGTAATAATAGTGTGCTTGGGAACATTCAGCAAAGCAATAGCTTTTTATTGTAGGCTTGTTTTACCAAACTCCACAGAAATTCAATACTCACAAACATGACTATATTATGATAATCCAATTGCTCAGCCAAGTGAATCTGTTTTAGACAAGTGAGATAACTGTTTTCATTAAAGGAACTACAGAGTGTGCAAGGGTAGAATGAAATTACCGAAAGCCCACCCAGCCATAGTCTTAAATCAATGATGTATTATTGTACCTCTAGGTCAGTTAAGTAGTTTGTGGAAAATAAAATGTTTTCCTAAAAATGGAGCAAATATCTTCTCAACATAAAGGACATGACTCAGTTATACCAGGATTTCTGTATCCTGATTTTAGTGTTTGCAATCTTAATGGTTTTATTGTTCATTCAACAGTAAACATTAGCTTTTTATAGTCGCTCTTTCATAGGTTTATAAAGAGTATGACTAAGCAAATGTTCTCTTCTTTTCAGATGGCTACCCTAAGGAGGAGATTACATACAGGTGGAAAAGGAGCTCAGTTGAGGTTGGGGACATTCGCTCATGGAGGCTTTACCAGTTTTCCTTTGTTGGATTGCGAAACACCACTGAAACTGTCAAGACAGTGTCAGGTAAGATATAAAACAGCCCTTACAGAAGAGCATCTGCATATTGCATTTGCAGCTACTGTAGCAATGTTACTGTTACCTGCAAAAGAAATTGTCAATATGGGACGTTAGAATTTATGTTGCTCTTCTTTGGGTTGATTTGTAAAAAAAAAAATGCAATAAATGCTTTGAACAAGATTTGCAAAAGTTTGAAGGGCATGCATAACTTTGCAAGGCACTGCGTTATAATTCAGGAAGCAGCAACAAATGGAGGTCTGCTGCTTTACAAAACTTCAAAATTTGGAAATCGGAAGGTGCCTTATCTTTTAAAACTCCTTTCTTCGCTATGCAGAAATCATGAGAGGGAAGTAGACTGGCTTCCCTAGAGAGTGTTGGCATGTTAGATAATAAAAAACTAGGCTGGCTTGCATATTGAAGGTATAGTAGGTATGAAAAACAAATGTTTTCCCTGTTTGCTCCTGACAGTGAAATAAGTGATAAAATCTGTGGAAAAAAAGATTCCTTTTTCCTCCCAGTGGCCCTACTGCCTTTTGCAAGCAAACATCGCTCAAGGTCAGAAACAACCAATCAGAGCCAGAGGCAATGTCTTAACATTGTCAGTCAGCTAATGCATATGCTGTGAACACCCCTCCCCAACAAAGCGCCACACACCGTTGTTCAAGCTCAAGAATGCAAACTTGCTGCAGCTGTGTGAAATATAAAGCAGAGGCTCCCAAACATTTCAGTCTGTGACCCCAAAAATAATAATGCGACACATTGGCGACCCCCTTAAAATATACATAAATCCCTAACTTTATATTCATTTACAAACCTAAAATGAAATACACACAGAAACACACAAATGTAGACGAATAAATGTATGGATGGACAGACAGAGAGAGACGGATATTAATTAGCAATGTGTATTATCCTCATAGAGTGCAATTGTTGTGCAGAACAGTTTGTATAGAAATACAGTCAGCCTGACATAACACCATGCCATATATAAAAAGCTAATTTGGGCTTATGGAATAAACTCCCTTGTAATTATAAATAAAACCCAGAACTGACTAAAAGGCATTATTTTTATTGTGTTTATAGACAGACAGCAACTTGGCTTAACCCTTTGGTGCTTTATTTAGTGTTACTGATTTCTGTTTCATTATTTCTAAAAAAAAAAAAAAAAAACACACTTTAGTATAAATGGTACAGCAGCAACAACAAAAAGAAATATATTACACTGTTTTAGTACTTTTAACTAATGTTTGTCTAATACAAAATTAGGTAATTTGTCAAGCTAAAGTAAATGTCATTGCAGTTTTACTTTAAGGCAAAAAAACGTACAGGAACAGCACTGTGTATATGTAATGCCAGACACACATCCCAAGTGTTTGGAATTCAAAATTGCCTGCACTTTTTCGGTTTCTCAGTTTTCTAATATATTATGCGGCATCTTAAAAGGGAATCTACGAGGGGATAAGCATGTGTTGAGAAATCACGGGGTCCTCAGTTTCTCTCCTTTTGATCTGGTTTGTTATTTCCACAAACCACCATCTGCTCCCTTGTCAGAGCAAAGAACCTTGACTGTGGCTGAGAGACCTCTCGCCTCATTTTCCAGGCAGTTTGGGAACTGACCTGCTTCAAGATTTGTGAACACAACATCTGTCTCAACAGCAGTCAGTCGGGGCATTATAATTACTTAGCCATCCCAAATAAACACCAGGCAATGAACTGTGCACCATGATATGGTTAGTTAACATGTTACAAGCACAACATGGATTTTCTAATGATTATTATTACTGGCAATATTATTACATTTTTCTTTTGCTGTAAACACATTTTAAACAGTTACACGCCATTTTTACTCTTTCAGTATTTTAAGAACCAATTACCTCACAAGATTACATTAAAATTTGGCATTATTTAAAATATCTATTAAAACAAGAAAATTCATTCTGAAGAAGCAGCAGTATATAAGCAAGAAGCTATCGAAATAGATATGGTGGAAAATATAATATCTTTGAGTTTGAGTCCTGTCACCTATCCTTGTAATTTTGTCTAAATTCTTTGATTACATCATTTTTATATAAGCATCATCTGGCTTTGGGCTGAATTTCCTAAATAGAAATGAGCTACAATAATGGCGGGATTCATATTTATGAGATTGATGAACAAGCGCTCTGCACATGCTTCTTGGAGCTCCTGTTGATTTCACACAGTGGCGAAAAGGACTTAATGTAAATTAGGAGGGCAGAGAGGTTCGCAGCGCAGCACGTCGTCGCACACAGCTGGAAAAGTGCAAATTGGGGAAAAAAAAAAAACAACTGCTAAAAAGACAGTTTCTTGTACCAGGCCATCACACAGCAATACATAAAGTTCAAATATAATAATATCTTACTCTTACGTAAAAATAAAAAAAAGCAAGTAAAAATGTTTCTA